CCATAAATGCTTGAAGCTACTTGCTGCTTTCCTGACATTATGTTAAGTTCTTGGTATTTGTGGGCAGTTTCTATCCTGTCTGCATAGGTTGTTGACATCTTATCTTTATGATGCTTTGGATAAGTTGTAGACTGAAAATGTTGCCTTTCAATTTGCTTTCCTAGTACTGTCATCCCTACTAGTAATCTATGAGCAGATCTGTTCCCAGTTTCTTGTGGTAGCTTCTCATCTGGTTACCCTGTGAAGAGCAGGTAGCGGCAGTCTTTCCTTTGCCCAGCTATGGTGAGTCCATGTCTCTGTCCTGTCTTGTAGCTTGATTGAGATGTGGAAGATGTCCCTCAGGGGTAGACAAAGATCCAAGAGTGCTGCTTGAGATATATTACTTAGGGAAAAGACCCAGGAAGGGACAAGGTTTCAACAGTGCAGACTCCCACATCTCAATAGTTGTTAATGGCCATGTACCTCTCCCTTCTCCCAGGGCTGGTCGTGGGGCCAGCCATTTCTGCCCCATATGACAAAGAATCAGGGTGATGCCAATATTTCTGAAATTCAGTTTTCAGTTCTCTCTGCCCTCTAATATCCAACCATACTTGGATCTCCTCTTTAGATGCCACTGAGTTGAAGGGCAGCTTGTTCTGCCTTAGAGGATAAAGACTCAGAACAGTGCCAATTTTTCTGCAATGCATATCTCAGTTCTGGGTGCCAGTTAATGTCCCTAGCTGATCTGGGGCTGCTTCTTAAGCAGTCATTTCCTCTGGCTTTTAGAACACTTTTTAAAAATTAGTAACTTCTGACAGTATTCACTCATCTCTGCTCAGACCAGCATGCACGTTTGAGACCAGGGCTGCAGCCTAGTCCTGGAGGGGGTGGAGGCCGAGGCTGAGCAGCGGCCGGAGATGCTGGTTGACGATGAAGACGATGATGAGACGCTGCCGCACTCAGAGGTGGTGGACGTGTTCCAAGAGGGTCTGGCCATGGTGGTACAGGACCCACTGCTCTGCGATCTCCCAATCCAGGTAACTTTGGAAGAGGTCAATTCCCAGATAGCACTGGAGTATGGCCAGGCCATGACAGTCCGAGTGTGCAAGATGGACGGGGAGGTCATGCCTGTGGTGGTTGTACAGAATGCTACGGTCCTGGACCTAAAAGAAGGCCATCCAGAGATATGTGCAGCTGCGGCAGGAGCGAGAAGGGGGCATTCAGCACATCAGCTGGTCCTATGTGTGGAGGAAATACTATTTGACCTTCACAGGAGAGAAGCTCACAGACGACAAGAAGAAGCTCCGAGACTATGGCATCCGGAATCGGGACGAGGTCTCCTTTATCAAAAAGCTGCGGCAAAAGTGAGTCCTGGTAAGGACAGAAGGATGGGGACCAAGCCCCTTGAGGACATTGCCCTCGGCTACCTATGTCTTTCACCTTTCAAAGCCACTTGCCACCTCACCTGACTGTTCTGCCTCCTTCCTCCACCATCTGGAATCAGTCGCTTCAGCTGAGGGCTCTTGGGGGAGCCTCACTCCCACTTACTAAGCGCAGGTCTGACCCCCTCCTAAGGCCCAAATCTGACCACGTGTGTGCCATGCAGGGTCATGGGCATGTTTTTTTACACAAAATAAACATGTTTGCTCTTTAGTTTGAAAAAAAATTAGTAACTTCTATTTATTAAAAGATACCAGTAAGATAATGGAAAGATAAATCATACACCTAAAAAATTAAGTCAGAATACATTTATTAAACAAAAGACTCGCATACAAAAATAATAATGAATTTCTATGAAAAGAAGTAACTTTAATTTTGGTTTTAGAAATATTCAATATCTTGATATTTGTAAGTATAGTGTGAACTATACTATTTCCAACTTAAGTTCTGAAAATGTCCCATATCTTGATCTAAGTTGTAATCAAGTGAGTGTATTCAGCAGTAATAATTACCAGGCTACACATTTAAATTGGAATAATTTTTTACATCTAAAAAGTGTAGAAACTTTCACATTAGATAATAAGATAAAATCAGAGTATATGGAGACATACCTAAATCAAATGACACAGTAGAAATGAAACAGAAAATGGTATGATGAAGAAATATTCTTACTGCATTTTAAAAATAGTGAATATATAAAAAAATAGTGAATATAACATAATACCAACTCAATATAATTGAAGATAAAAGTAATAAAATAAACGTTTCTTATTAATCAAAGGATTAATTAACCAAGAATATATAATAACTACAGAATTTTAAAAAACTTAGGAGAGATTATAGTAGTATAAAGGTCAATTATACAAACATAATTAAGTCAACAGAATGAATTGAAATAATGTTGTTGTTATAATGTCCTGTCAACAGAATATATAAAACCAGGACACTCTCTCTCTCTTTCTAAATTATACATGCCATACTTTATGTGTTGAATACCATTGAGCTTGAATCAATTTATAGCTGACACCCTAGCAGGTTTTCAGAGGCAGTAAATCACACCAGAGATTATCTCTCCTTCTTCCACAGCACAAATCATAGATTTGAACAACGTGGTTTGAATCTACCAGCTTCTCTATGGGATGGGTAATCTTCCCTCGTGTGATGAAACTGTTTCTAAAAACCTACTGGAGGGTCCACTATGAGTTGGTTCTGATTTAATAGGCCACAACAACAATGACAAAAATAGTATATTAAGATTAGTTAAAAGAAAGGCAATATATAATAAAAAGATTAAAAAATATTTTCTGAGCTCTAATAATTTTCTGTTGCATGTTTCTCTATTGTGCTTGTCACCTTTGACCATACTATTTTACATCCCTCTAGAATGTAAGCTCCATAAAGGCTAGAAGTCTGGAAACTTTGTTTCACCTACTTTGGACATGTTGTCAGGAAGGGCTACTGTTTGGAAAAATACATCAAGTTAGGAAATGCAGAGAATCAAAGACAAGCAAGATCATCAACAAGATGGATTGACACAGTGGCTGTAATAACGGACTCAAGCATATCAGAGATTATTAGGGTGCTACAAGATAGGGTGAAGCTCAGATCAGTTTTTCACAGGGTTTCTGAGTCATAGTGAACTCAATGGCACTTAACAACAAGAGCAACAATTCACTAAAACATTCTTCAGCATCTCTAAAAGTGTCTGTCAATAAGTATTTGTTGGATAAAGAAATGAACTTTTAAAGAAACAAAATGAGTATTACAGATTATTTAGAATTGAATGACCGGTAACACATAAAAGAAATAAGAAGGTTGCAGGATGATATTTGCATATTTACAATGCCGTATTGGGGTGTCTGTTTGAGGGATGCTAGGATTGTTCCTTAGGGAGCGCTAGTGTCTTCGTGGTAAGAATTGCAGTGCCAACTCAATGTTGCATAGCTCAGATCCACCAGCTACTCCATGGGAAATTGATGGGCATTCTCCTGTTTTGCAATTTGCTGCCTCTGAAAACTGGCTGTAGTAAATTCTGACTCATCAACAAGGTTACTTCTTGGCTGCCTGTTTGCCCTAAGGCACCAGAAAAAGGCTGTTATGGTCAGGGATCAAGAAAAGTGTGTGTCAGTGCTGTATCTTTCCCCTATACCCATTCAATTGGTGTGCTGAACAAATCATTTGAGAAGTTGGACTCTGTGAAGAAGAATGTGGAATCAAGACAGGAGAAAGACTCACCAACAGCTTGCATTATGCAGATACCACAACCATGCTGGCTAAAAGGGAGGAGAATTGAAACATCTGCTGCAGAAGATCAAAGATCCAGTATGGATTATATCTCAACATTAAGATGAAAAATATCCTCACCACTGGGCCACTAAGCATAGATGGAGAAAGATTGAAATTAAAAATTATTTAATCTTTCTTGGATATATAATCAACACCCTTGGTACCAGCAGTTAAGAGATCAAAAGATATACAGTATTGGGACATTTTGCTGCCAAGGACCTTACCGAAGTACTAAAGAGAAATGCTGTCAGTTTGAAGACTAAGGTGCACTTGATTCAGGTCATGGTCTTTTTAATCACTTGTTATGTATCGGAGAGATAGACAATGAATAAGGATTACAGAAGAAGAATTGATGCCGTTGAGTTGCGGTGTTGGAGAAGAGTACTGAATACACCACAGATTGTAAAAAAACAAGCAGATATGTCTAGGAGAAAGTTCAGCCAGGGCACTCCTTAGAGACAAGGATGACAAAGTTTCATCTCACATAATTTGGACATTTTGTTAGAAGGAACTATTCCTTAGAAATAGACATCATGCTTGGAAAGGTGGAGGGTCAGCAAAAGAGAGGAAAATCCTCAATGAGACATATTGACATAATGACTGCAGCAATGGATTCATGTATGTTAGAGATGATGAAGATGCCACAGGATAGGACTGGGTTCAGGTCCACACATATCAACAACTATAAAACTACAAAACAATAACCCAACAACAACAAGCCTACTCTCCCCAGAGATGAAAAGGTCTCATATTAAGGCATTACCTAGGTGGAAGAGAATGAAAAGGAGGAAATAAGCTCTGTCATGCACATTCATGAGGCTGTCATTCATAATTGGTGAGCAAACACTTCTTCCTCACAGCTGTGTGGCTCTCCAGGACTACCATATGGGAAAATAGTTATCAGAGTGCCATCTGTCAAGAGCATTTCCAATGACAACAGAGTGAAACAGCAATAGAAGACGTTGGGGTCAAGTTTGAACCCCTTAAGTCAGTAAATTTCATGCTACCTAGATCTAAGAAAATGAGTTCATTTCCTTCTGGTAGTAAAAGAGAAGACAGTCAACAGACTTGGCCAGAAGAGAATAGAAAATTGTATGTTATAAATTCAGTAATCCACCCTATATTCACGCTGAATCAGGAGTGGGGAAAATGCATGCTATCCTTAATTTTGGTCATCATAAGAGTCCCAGCCCTTTATAATATCTCAGAATAAATCATATGGAATCTTAGCTGTCCAGAAAAAAATCTTACAAGTTTTATCCATAATTTTGAAATTAACATACATTTATCTATTTCTTCAGCAATGAATACTGCAAGAAAGAGTATTACAGTGACACAATTAAGAGCTCACTCTACTGGTAAACAAAAGGTTGACTATTTAAATTTCTTCTCCCTTAGCAGTTCCACATGAGAAAAACCTAATGATACCCAGTCACTAACATTACTACCCAACAGTAATCTTTCTTGGGTCAAGGAAACCCAATAGAGCAGTTCAACTTTTTAATATGAATGGCGACGGACTCAGTGTCATCCAACAATAAGAAGAACTAATTCTTAAAATATAAAGTATTGTATGTTCAATTTATGAACACACTATCCATAGTGTTAGAGCTATTGCATACTTATAATTAGATAAATGCAAACTTACTTGAAATTTCCATAGACCTCCGATATCATCATTTCTTTCAAAGCAAGTAGGCTCCAGGTCTTCATCCAAGCAGCACTTAATGGCTCCCAGTCCACTAATTCCAGCTCCAATTACAGCAATCCTCTTCTTGTCCATGGTTCTATAGTTGGTTGGCAGAAATTGAGAGCTTCTTCACCATTTTTCATTCCATTTAAATCAAAGCAACTTTGTCACAAGAACCTTGTCATGCCCTCCAAAATATGTGTCAGTTTGGCTAGGCCATGATTCCCAGTAATATGTGATTATACTCCATTGTATGTTGTGTTGTCAATACTAACATCTTGGGTGTTACTGAGGCAAAAGCAGAGGAAGTTATGTTACTGTTAATCTACAATATTAGAGTATTTTGAGTCAGTCTGTTGATTAAATAAGTAAGCAGAGATCAGAGGGACCTCATAGCTGCCAAGAAAGAGATGTCAGAAGCAAAGTATGCTCGTTGGACCCAGAGTTACTTTGCTGAGAACCTCCTAGACTCAAAGACCCAGGGGAGATCAAGATGCACTGAGATCTCCAAGGCAGATCCAAGGCCCTTGCATGTTAAAACGAGATGAGAACTTTCCCCTAGGGCTAACACACACACACACACAGTCTTCTTTTAGGGCTGGTACCCTTAGGAATAAATTTCTGTTTGTTAAAGCCATCCTCTTGTGATATTTCTATTACAGCACCACTAGAAAAATAAGACATGAAGCTCTGGTGGCATAGTCCATAGTGAGTTGTGCTGCTGACTAAAAGGCTCTACATCTCTAGAGGTTCAACCCCACCAGTGACTCTGTAGGAAAAAGATGTACCTTTTCCTTGATACAATTTACAGCTGTGGGAACTCAATGGCAGATAGCTTTGAGTCAGAAATGACTTGATGGTAGTGAGTTTGAGGTAAGACACTGTGCTGCAATCCCAAAGGCATGTGATTTGAGGCCATAAGCTGTTCTGTAGAAGAAGGATGAGCAATCTCCTCCACCTCCCAAACCTACCAGAGGGTCAGCTATGGCTCAGTTCTGACTTTATGGTACATAAAAACAGTAACAAGACAGACCAGTGGTTTACAGTTTGATTATTCCTATTGTCAGTTAGAACATCAATAGGCAGATTACTCATTAAGGATTGTGGTAGGTTTAAGGGACACTCTCACATGCCAAAAATGTTTAAAAAAATCCCAATTTCTTCTCTCAAAAATTCTCTATACAGTTCAGGGAGAGAAACACAAACCTATAATTATACCTTTCAGGGGCTACGATTTTTTAAAAAGCGCAAAACATGATGATGATGATGATATAGATATAATAAAAAGCAAACAAATCTCTCAGAAAGTTCTCTGCTTAATCAGGAGAATTACAAACATGCAATTACTATAAGTGATAAATGCAATAATGACACTGTGTCACACACAAGCAGCTCTAAGAAGGACAATCTGACCTTTTAGAGAAGAGATTGATGAGATAAAATTAAAGTATGCAGGAGTTAGTTTGCTGAAATTGAGGAGGACCTGAAGCACATGCTGTAGAACGTCAAGGATTGCAGCCTTCAATATGGATTGAAACTCAACATCAAGAAAACAAAGATCCTCACCACTGGGCCGATTGACAGCATCGTGACAGATGGTGAAGACATTGAGATTGTTGCCTGCTTTAGTTTTCTGGGCCCTACAATCTACCAATACTCGGTACCAGCAGCCAGGAAATTAAAAGAAGAATTGCATTAGGAAAGTCTGCTGTCAGAGATCGATCCAAGGTACTGAGGAGCAATGATGCCAGTCTGGAGACTAGGGTGTGCCTGATACAGGTCATGGTCTTTGCTATTATTTGCTATGCTTCAGAGAAGTGGACAATGACTAGGGATGATAGAAGGTTGATGCTTTTGAGCTTTGGTGCTGGAAAAGATTATTGAATATACCATGGACTGCTAGGAGAACAAACAAGTTTGTCCTGGAGAGGGTGAAGCCAGGCTGGTCCTTGGAGGTAAGGATTCTGAAGCTTTGTCTGATGTACTATGGATATGTTGCAAGGAAGGACCAGTCCTTGGAGAGGGACGTCATACTTGGGAGGGTGGAGGGACAGTGCAGGAGAGAAAGACCCTCGATGAGATGGATTGATTATATCACTATGGTAATGAGGATAGGCGTGTTGGAGACAATGAGATTGGCAAGAGATAGAGCAAGGTTTAGGGCTGTTGTATGTAGGGTCACTAGGAGTTAGTTAGGCAAGGGACCAAGAATGGTCAAGGTGGCAGTGGTGGGTATGTGTGTATTTGTGAAACATTTCAGACAGCAAAACACAAGAACAAAAGCATTTTAGTGAGTGTTATAATTTCATAATATAAGGATTGAAATGAAATGAATATGAGATTTATCAGTGTAGTGGTCATCATTGAACTTTTGCAGAGAAATTTTAGCAAAAAGTGATAAGGTAAAACAATCTTGGCAGTAATTTAAAGGAGAAATAAGGTCACAGAAAGTAGACACAATGGTTCTTAAATATACTCCAGAAAAGCCTAGAAGCAAAGTAAACCAAGATAGTGATATTTTCTCTCTCTCCTTTAATAAGCTAATAATTCTAAGGAGATTAAATAATTCAACAATAGCTCTTTGATGTCATGTCAGAACCAACTCCTAGATGACTCTCCCTCAGGCTTTCTGAGCCTTTAGATGGATGGGAGGAAATCGCCTTTCTCCCGTAGAACAGCTGGTAGATTTGAACCACCTGCCTTTGGGTTTGTGGCACAACTCCTTACTCATTAGACTACCAGATCTCACTCATAAAACAATTGGAAGCTTAAAAAAAACACACATTTGCAATTATTGAAAAAGTCTCAGCTTTAAGTGGACCTCAGCTTGCTCATTCATTAACTTATAATTTATTCTTTCAACAAATGCTTATTGAGTCTTAACTATGGACTGGTTATGGGGCCTGTGGCTAAAACCACATAACTGAAGATTACACCATTCTTTACCCAAAAGAGTGAATTCAAAGGGGATAGCAGTGGAGAGAAAGGCATTATATTATAACTATTATGGTTAAAATACTTGCAAGTGGTGCTATAATTGTGCTGGATCACTTGTAGGGACTATGTAGAAAGCCGTGCCTTTCTTCCCTGCTGATGCCATGAGTTGGAAAGATTGTTTCCACTTCAGGGATGTCCTCCTCCCTTTCACCTCATTATCTTCTATGTAATACTTTTCCTGAACTTCTCACTCAGAGTGCAGCCTGCTGTGTGTTTTCAGCCAGAGTGAAGTCCACTGTGTGAACCCACAGTGGTGAATATAAATCTCTATTATTACATTTAGCACATGATTCTATTTTGTATAAAATAAAACATTTTTTCTGTCATGTTTTGGTCAAGTAACAAGTACCTAGCAAGACTTGAGACTCATAGCTGACAATAAATTACTATAGAATGCAATAAAGTAAATAATTTACATTTAATGGAAAAAAAGTAAGTGAATTGATTACTGAATTTTATTTTTAACTTGTTAGCAAGTTCAGACAGTAAGAACAGTATATTTTTTTACGACAAAACTATAATCAGATAAAATATTTTAAAGATCCCTTTCATATTTTCTAATCTCACAAAATATCATATAAGTGAAAAGAGACCAACCTTCATGAAGAAAAAAATCTAAGTTTAGTTTCAGCTTCTCAATGATAATTGATATGTTGCTCCCTGTCTTCTTGAGAACAGTCATTCCTAAGCAATTCAAGGACTTTTATAGCACATTGAATTAGTTAAAGTGTAATCCCTTCCCACGACTTTTCCAATTTGGATTCAGAAATCACCATAAGCCTTTTAGGGAAAGGACCAGGTCTAATCTGATAGCTCTTATAGTTCATCTGGTATTTGTTTGCAGTGCATTTTAATACTAATTGGCACATTGAAAAGATTGTCCAGACGAAATCACATGCATGGGCTTGGGAAAACAAAGACAAAGTTTTGGGCAATAAGCAGTGTTGTTAATTCTCTGATTACAAGTTGAAACTTTTTTTTTTACCTTCAGATGATTTTTATTGAGAAAATATTTAGGGTAAACAATAAAAATATTGTATATTGTTATGAAATTTTAAATCACTGACAATAATGACATTATTCTAAGGAGGAAAATAAGTTACACTTATGGCTGGAAGTCAATAAATAAGTGACTTAAACCTGACAGGAAATATTTTTGAACCTTGAATTTAGTAATCAGTCAAAATGTCAATCAAAGGAGGTGAAAAAGGATCCAGACTCATTGCGCCTTCAGTGACTGAAGAAATTTCTGAATCTATCATTCAGAGAATATCTTTAAAATTGTGGTGTTACTGTGAAAATAGGGGTGAGGGAGGGGAAAGATAGAATAGAAATGGAATGGATAGACAAAGAACGCTACAAAGATCAAGCCAAGGGAGGATTAGTTGTTGTTGTTGTTGTTATGTGCCGTCGAGTTGTTTGCGACTCATAGCGACCCTATGCACAACAGCCCTAAACCCTGCTCTATCCTGCGCCAACCGCACTGCCTCTGACACACCCATTCCGATTACCCCAGT